ACAAAGCAGACCCCAAAGAACCTCGGCTACAGGTGCAGTTTTGTGGGCTGTCTCTGTAGCTCCACATTTGATTCTGTTCCCACAGATACCGCCATCAACGCTGTCGCCCCCTCTGGTCTCTAATAGACTTTTCACGCTTGGGTTTTAAATTGAGGTGCTGATTTTGTACAGCTGATACAACAGACATACATTTATTTATGTAAATGGAAATGCACACCTTTTATTTTTGGCTTACAAGGGGGCTTATTAGTTTGAGGATACAGCTGGGCAAAGCTACAACCAAATCATGGCATAAATTTCAGAGTGAAGCTATCGATGTTGAAGGATTTAGAGACAAATGATAGCTGATGTTAAGCTGCACAGGGAGAGAGCAAGTAAAGTTGATATTGAAAATGTATCTAAAAAATTACCTGACAAAATCTTAACTTTGCTTATTGAAATGTCATAGAGTTCCCATCACAATGAAGTCTTCTCTAATAGGTATCTTCCATTCGAGCGACAATATTCTATCCAAAAGTTTTCGCTTTATTTTTACCTATTTCTTTTTACGTTTTATTTTTATGGTAAAGTTTTGCAATTGCAAAACTTTTTGCCGATAGAAAAGGAACAAAGAAAAAACGGAAAAGCAGATACTATTTATGCGAAAGAGTTGAAAGGACTTTGCCCAGAGTTTTTCCAGTTGCAAGTTTTTTGCGGTATAGATAGTCGTATTTTTGGGGGATATTTGTAATTAATTGCTGGCAAAAATAGCGACCGCTATTGTGGCTGCCAAAAGCCGAGACAGATGCACGATTCCAGGACACTATCCGTGGGATCTCCCTTACTTATTTTTGTATATTTTGTTGGCAGCCGGGGAGACTCCTGCCAGCACAGCTGCTGCTGCTGCAGTCCTGGCGAATTTGTTGTGCTGTTGTTGAGGGGAGAAAAACTAATAAAACAAATCGCATGTTTAGCCAAAAGAGTAGATTTCTGGTCATTGAACCAGAGCAGTCGGCACACTAGAATAAATATATCTATCCTGGCAACCCTCCTCAATATATTTGACCAAAGTCATGGCCTAAGGCCTCGTGCACACCACCCCGAACAAATCCAATTGGAATTTTAAGTGCTGTGCAAATCCACAGTCAAAGAAAACCCTTCGATGGAGTCCAGTCTTTGAAGGGAGAAAGTGGGCGTTGGTCCGGCAATTTGTGTTCCTTATCAGCGATCCCTGCACATTGATTGGAACTCTGTTTCGTTCTGCATTTATGCTCGAGGGCGCTTCCGCTGCGCGTAAGTTTTATGGACAATCGGATTGGGACTCATCCCCAGTGGCCATTTTTCCAGAGTGCATTGGGAGAGGGCCAGCTAGTGTGACTCCCACTTGACCAGACAAATAAGCAATGATGACAGGACAACTGCGATAGGAATAAGGGATACGCTCCCTTGTGTACTCATAATGGACGTGGGAAGCCCCGACGACAAGTCTGTAATAATTAAGAAACTGAGATTTCATTCAGGGAAAACATAATTGTATTTCAGAAACTAATCCAGAAATAGAATAAGTATGGGGAAAGGTTCTGTTGAAAGGCTATGAAATGGAAACTGATTAATATAATTAACATCTGTCGCACGTTACAGAGAAATGTTCAACACAAATGGGTTTGTAATACAGAAAACTCGTCTTGGATAGAAGATAGAAACTTCTGAGGTTTTCATTCCATTGATATTGGTTTTGGATATATTGAAGATTGAAGCTACATTGGAACAATCGCGGTTTCTGTTAACGATAGTGAGGGCCCTCCTGAAACCCATGGGAACGCCCATTTCAAGACAGTACGGGGCGTAGAGTACGCTGACAATACCCTGGCATTTGTCTCAAGATAGTCAACGTTTTCTCCACCCATTCAGCAGAGAGACTCTGCAGCTGTCGAAATGAAATGTCTACCTGCGAAATGATTTCGTTTTCAGACGGGCTTTCGGACTCGTACTCGGTCGCGGAATCGCTTCTCATTTGCGAAAAGTAAATGCCGCTTTTAAAGTCAAATGAAGGGTCGGGAGCAGCAGCAATAATAATGTGAAAAGAGGGGCAGAAGAGCGGAGGGGAAAAAAGTACAAAGCCAAAAAAACGTTTTGACTTGTGCCCAAGAGCAGCGGCTGGGGCAGGGGCTGTGGGGCTGAGCGGCTGAGCGGCAGCAACTGTGGGGCTGTGCAACCTGATGTTCGTTAGTGGAAAGGTCAAGGATTATTATACTTCATCATAACTCTATTAAGCTCCGAAGTCCGCAACATTACAGCTTACTGTCTTAGTGCCCCTGCCTCATGCCACATGCCACTTTGCTGCTGCTGCTGCTGTTGCCTTCACTGCGCATTTGTTTGTATATTGTTATTATCGTTTTATGCAGCACACACGAGAGATCTACAAAGGCAGTGGCAGTGGCAGTCAGGCCTCCTTCTCCTCTTTCTCCTCCGCACATGAGGTATGCGACTCCACTCTCTGCTGTGCGCGACTCTGGTGATAGTTTCGTCTTTTCAGCATTAGTTTTTTTTTTTGTGGGAGTTTTACTGTTTAGTTTTCTATTACACGAAATTGAGTAAAAGTCCCAAAACGAAAGCCACCCCACGGAAGACGGTTGCTCGGGTTGCGGTGGCAAGGGGAAAACGACTTTAAGAGCAAAGGCCCAAGGCAAAGAAACAACGAAGCTTTCGAGGGGCGACTTTTGTACGCGCAAGCATTTGATTTGATTATTGAAGAGTTTTGCATTAACTTCCGAGAAAACGAGACCAAAAAGACCGAGACAAACGCTCTTTAATGCTGCCTACCTTCCGCCTCCCTCCCTGCCTCTTTGTTTGTGGCTTCCCTGTTCCGCTTTGATCGATGGCTGACTGCGCGCTGCTGCCTGTGTCTGTCTCTGTCTTTGGCATTTTGTCTCGTGTCTTGGAATGATGCGGCACAAATTGCAGAGCAGAATAAATGGGAGGGTTAGAGGGAGAGAGCTACACAAAGAGAAACTGCAGTAGCCTTGGGAGACTGCATGCAAACGGTGGTTGCTCTCTGCAGGAATACAGTAGCTGGAGAACAAGAGAGTGCTGATGTTGGAGAAAGAGAGAGAAAACAGTAAATTCAGCAGAATATCAGAGAAGTTTTGCAATTATTGTCGTGTGATACTTACTTATCGTTATAAAAACTAAGATTGGACATTTATATGGGTTTAATGAATGTATAAAGTATGCAGCCACTCAATTCCTCTTCTGAGATAATAACCCTTAATAAGTCCACTGACCAGCGTTTAATCGAAAAGTAACAGTCATACGGATACACTGCATTGCCTACCTGCACTCTATTCAGCCTAAGCTCGTATGACACTTTTAACTCCACTGACTTGCTGTATGAGCCAGGAAAGAAGCAGATGTCATACGATCACAAGTTTGTGGACCGCCTGAGCCGCGAACTAAATCTCATACGCTTACGTCTAAAGCTCATAAACTGACAAAGACTTTGACTACATATTTTCTCGCAGTGCATGCCAAGCGCCATCTGGCGGCGCGTGACAGCCAAAGCCCATCTCTGAAGATAGGACAGGCAATGACGAGTTAATTTCTTCGCCTTCTCATGCATTAATTGAGTAGCCCCGGGCGTATAGCTGAGAGGAGTGGTGCCGGGGTTGTGGGGTGTGCAGCGTAGAGTCATCCAACTTATATAAGAGTGCATGGGGCATGCGGCATGGGCATGTCCTCAGTCGCTGTGGCGACATTAAAAACTCAAGAGGAGTGACCACAAGAAATGGCTAAAAATGGCTGTCTGGGGCGCTTAGATTTCCAGTAATTTCATACCATTCCCAGTCGGAATCGCAGACCCATACCAACGGTTGGCATCCTACCATGACAGTACCATTCCCTTACCCCATTACCCTTTTAGCATTCATCCATCGACAAAAAGGTCAAATCTTCAAACTGGATGATGTTCATTAGCGACACAGAAAGCCACAAAGCGTGAAACTCCGCCGGCTACAGAGGGGCAACACAGAAACACAGAGAGAAAGAAATGGAGATAGGAGAGATCTGTTGGTGGCTTGCACTTTAGACCCAAAAAATGCATTTCCTTTAACCCCCCCACCACCACCACCACCACCACCCACTCTGTGGCCTCTTTGGACTTGCCTCCTCCTTCCCCTGTCCATTGTCCGTGGGCACTGCTTTGACTCTCGACCCTTTTTGTCCGTGTTTACATCAAAAACGTGCCTCAAGTGTTCCTGTCACTGCACAAATTGGACATTTATTTGTTGCCCCATCGACTCTGCTCCCTACTCCACTCCGCTCTGCCCTTCCCCCCTGTCGTGTGTATTGCCATTTCCATGGAAGGAACGTGTTAAGGATTTCGATATGCAGTTGGGATTGGGAATGGGAATGGGAACGGGAACGGGCATGGAGGTGTTCCCCTGCTGTTTCATCTTCTGGTACTACTCCTCCTCCTCCACCTACCGTACACATGAAATGCAATGAGGCAGCGATTTTTGTGGCGCCACCCCTTCTCATATGCTTGGATCCAACATTCAGGGGCGTGTTTTCGATCCGCTTTGGCTAATTGATGGTTTTGGCCAGCCATCAGGCAGCAGCAGCAGCAGCAGCAGCAACAGCTGCACTCCGCCCACAGATGGATAACTCACTCCTTAAGCAGACACACTGCTTGCCACTTGCCACACAATTAAGCCACTTGCTGCACTGCAATTTGTCAATTAGCTAATGTGTGTGGGGAGCTGCTTGGGAACCATTTCTGATGTGATTTTGGTCTTCTTCTCTTTGCAGAACTTCCTGGCTGCCAATGCCCAGTGCTGGTGGAATGGACCACTGACGGCGGCAACGCGTGCCCTCAAATACGCCGGACATGTGGCACCCGGCATGCTGCTGGTCACCGCCGAACCCTGCGCCCTGGAGGTGCTGCGCGGCGCCTTTGCCAGAAGCGTACTCAAGCCACCGGCAACCTATGTGATCAGCTCTGTGGGTGAGTTTTAGTTGTAGCAATCCTAGACTAAAATATCGATCCCCTTTTGGCATACGAAAAGTTCATGAAAATTTGTCTGAAGCCGCGTTGAGGCTCGAGCCATGGTTGGGCGCAATAAGGGGGGGCGAGAAGATCCTTCAAAGGACAACAAATCCTTCAGCCAGTCTCGCTCCAACGACGAAGAGAAAATGCAAATGTCGATGGAGGAGCTGCGCAGGCGCCTGGAAAACGAAAACGTGGCCAATGCACAGGTCGATGAGCAGCTTCAGGACGATTTCCAGCGTTGGAAGGACATTTTAATGGTGCGCTGGGTCATGTACGAGGAGCAGCGGAAGTACAATATGCGCTGCCAGGGCAAAAGCAAAGGGCGCGACGCCACCATCTGGCGCATACTGTCGATGGTGCAGCAGGAGCTGGAGGAGAAGCTGCAAATGGAGAAAATTCTGGGCTCTTGCAGGCGCTTTCCCTCGCCCATGGCTCTTATGGATGACGAACGTTCGGTGGGTGACAATCTGCAGGTGCTCGAGCCGGTGCGGGATGTACTGAGTGGCAGGGGAGGCAGCATTATGTGGGAGGAGCCGCCAACGGAGCAGCAATCTTCTGTAAGGGTTAGCGGAATGGGACAGCAATATAAACCAGAGGAACCATGGGACATGCAGGATGAATGCACTTGCACGGCATGTGTGTCGCGCAGGCGGCAGGAAAAGTATCAGCAGCCCCAAGCAAGTACCCACCGAAAGGTAAAGAATGAATCCAGAGCCAATCCGTGTTCGTGTCTGTCTAAGGAGCCAAATCAAATGAACGAACAGTCCCAGCCAATGTCTTTTTTTGTGGAGCAAGTGAAGAGCCAACCAAGGCAGTCGCAGCATAGCCCTGACTGCACCTGCCCGAGTGTCGCAATCGGGGAAGGAACGAGACAGCCGGAGTCACCAAAGTCACCGTCAAGGTCCACGTTTAGTGCCAGTTTTGGGTGCCAGTTCCATGGTGATCCTGAGCAACATTTGGGCCCCAGGAGAACCGACTTTCTGAAGAAGTTCAATAAGATAACGAAGCTCAATAAGTCGGGCATGCTGGTGCCGGCCAGTGCCTTGCTGGAGCTCGCCGGGGAGCTGCCACAGAATGTGGGCCGAGCAGCCACCTGGACCTGCCACAAACTCCCAGCCCAGCAGTTGCACAACGTTGGGAAGGTGCCGCTGAAAAGCCACGAAACGGTAAAGTGCATGCCACAACGTCCACGACGCATTCGAGAGGACCCAAACGATTCCCTGCTGGTCTATGTGAATGAAAAATTCGATGTGGATGCCCAGTCCGGGATGGGCAACTCCGACTTGACCTCCTATTACAGCGCCATTGAGTTGCAGCCCAAGCAGGAACCAGAGCCTAAAACCCAACTGGGATACTGTCCGCTGTGCGACAAGCGGCACCTGCGTATGCCACCGCCCTTTTGAGTGGTTTCTCGACCCCTACCAACAGCGGCTTCACAGTGAAAATAAAGCAAAAAGGTCTAGCCGAAAAATGATGCACCTCTTCCTCCTCCACCTCTCAACTGCCACACACCGCGCTGCACCTCATCAAACATTGATGCCGCTGTCTGGGTCCGCAGTGCCTCGTTAGCTGTCAATTAAGTGGACACCTGTGCAGTTAATGCCACTGCCACTGCCACCAGTGTCCATTCTCCCCCTCATTCACCCCCCATTTCACACTTTCACAGTCCTGTTCCCGTGGTTGTGGCCAAAAAATTGCCACAACTGTGCGCATTGATAAATGGACAACCAGCCAGCCTGGCTGGTCAGATCGTAGTCGTCGTCTTCGTTCGGCCTTTGGCGAACTCTGTTTGGGAATTAATAAGTTTCGATTTGTGGCTGCCACTCGTGGCCATATATAATCCGTGGCGGCCACAAGGGGGCGCTCCATTTGGCCTTTGTCGGTTAAAAACTTTGTGGCACTCATTCAATTGAGGAAATATTGCTGCTGCTGCTGCTGCCTGACCAAACAAAGAGGCGCACTCAAACAGCAAACAAACACGGACGGGGGCATAGATGGATGGGAGTTGCAACTGCAATGCATGATGCATGTGTGTGGGATGTTGCATTTGGCAGGCAGAATCCGTTCCATGTTTGCTAATTAACATCTGCAATGGCGTAGAACCCATTAACTGTTAATTACCATAAACATGACAATTCCATTCGCAAATAAGTGGGGGGGAAGTAGCTCTGAGTGCCACATCATAGAATGCCATCTGGCAACTCCTATATGCTGCAATCCTTCTTGCAACTCTTAAATCCACAAATATACTGCTTTAACTGCTTCACATGTTAAATTTGAAACCTCTGGCAAGCAGTTAATCATTGTTTTGAACTGCTTCCAGCATGGAGGCATTGAAGATATGTTGCGAAGCAATGTTGCCAGGAATTTCATAAATTATTGCTTAAGGGAATCCAAAGCAACAAACTGCATGAAGTGTAAGAAGATGTTGCCAAACATTACAGCAAATAAAACCCAACCACACGTGAACGCTGAAATATTCATGGGGCTTACTTACTAACAGAAATAGTATTAAAATTCTTAAATTTGATTGTTTAATTACAATTAAAGTCTTCGACTGGAAAAACAAACAAACGAGCTTTGCGAAAACGGTAAAAAAGACACCTGGGCATGGCATTAAATTAAATGCAGTTTTATTGACTGGCGGCAGACGCCTATTAATTTGATTTGAGCCGGTTGTTATTCACGAAATAAAATGCAGTCGTAAAGGCTGTAAAACGCCTGGGTTCCACTTAACAAGCAGTGCAAACAAGCAGTGATATTGCTTCGCAATTGGATTGAAAACTGCTTTAGAGTCAAACAATAGTAAGAATGTTGCCAGCACAGCGAAAACCTCCCACCAGCCACATCTTTATGCTGTTCAAATGTAAACTAACCCGTAAAAAAAGTGGGGAAATAATAGCAACAATAACTATGGCAATAGGCAATCACAATAGCAAGAAAAGCAATAACAAAAGAAATAAAATAACACATTGCATGGAAAACAATCAATCAGGCGGCAATTTCTCGCTCAATTAGACAACAAACATGCCAAATAAAAGCAACAAAACAACAAAAATCAAACGAAACTGAAGAGCAAATTAAATTCAGTTTCGTGTTAAAGAGCCAAGTGGATGAGAGAGGTGATGGTGGTGGAAGTGGAAGAGTGAAGATTGTCTGTGCTGCCAATTTGACAACGAAATATCAGTAAAGTGAAGGAAGCAGCAGACAGACAGAGAGCGAGTGAGAGAGAGAGAGAGGGGAGGGCAGGGTGAAGAAACAGACAAATGGCAAATGCAAAATAGCTGGAAAGCGAGAAAATTATACAGTTCCCAGCTAGAGAAGAGAGACGGGAAGATAGTAGAGAGCGAGTGGGTGAGTGAGAGAGTGCTGTCTGTCTGCTTGTCTGATTGCCGAGTGAAAAATAAAGAGCCGCAAATCAATTTCATCACGATTTCTCGTCGATCGTCCGTCCGTTGGTCGGAGATGTTGCTGAAAGTGAAATGTGGCCATGACAGTGCCGCGGCTCCCGGCACTCACCCGGCCCGGTCTCTACCAATCGATCAGCGGAAAGATGATCCGTCCGGCTGTCCGTCTGATAATTGTAACTTAATATTCGAAGCCATTAACAAATCGCAAATCTGTAGAAATCAGCCACAGAAATCAGCAAAGCCTCGCAGCAACATGTAGCTTTAGCTGCATGGAATCAGCATATATGCAAATGAGTCCGAGATGCAAGCAGATTAGTTGCAGACACAAGTTGCCAGATGAGTTGAGACAAATGTTGATACTGCTGCAAAGCAGTGGAACATTCTGCCGTTAGAGGTTCATGTGTGGAATTTTAACCACATAACGAGGTAATTTCTGGGAAAACGGGTCAACAAACTTCCACTACGCATCTAATCTGTGGAATGGTGGGGGTGTGGGACGCTTCAAAGCGTAACCAAGTTCGCCAAAAGAAGAAAGATCAAAAGGCAAGAGTCACTGTCATTGAGGTCTGTCCGTGTGTCTGTCTGTCTCTCGGGTCTTTTGCAAGTTCATCTTCTCAATCGCATGGTCGCTTGAGCACACTGTCCCACACTCACCCCACAAACACCTCTCACCCATCCAATAAAATTCCGCAACAAAAGAGCGTTACCAAAGCGATTATTGTAATTCTATTGTTCTCCTTCTTTCAACGTTCTCTCCAACGTTCGCTCCTTCGTTGTCTTTCATCATCTTCTGGCTGTGCCTTTGACTGGTCACACTGATTACTCCTGATCCCCCAACGCCCCCGTAATGAGGTCAACCCCACTTTGACTTAAAGCTTTTGGTTACGCTCCGCAGCTTTTCTCCCCTCATTTCGATGGGAAAGTGTTCTCGCTGGGAAGTGTCTTTCAGCGTCTTACAATTGTGTTTCCAGCGGGAGTTTTGCGGAGAACTACTGGGGAAAAGATAGGGAAAAGACAGCGGGTAATACGCACCAAAAATGGAAGACAATTTTGCCAAAATGCGACACGATTCTATGCCCAATGGCTGGCTATAACTGACATTATCCTCTCCATTCCCATCATCATCATCAGCCCCCCCCCATGGGGTATGGAAAGTTGCACAATGCCGCCACGAATGTAACTGTATTTTTGTTTGGCAGGAGGCTGCCCAGGTTCAGGTCCACTAACCCTAAACTCATTGACCTTTAACACAGCAGCAGCAGCGGCAGCGGCAACAGGAACAGCCAAAAAGTGTCGCCAAACAGTTTTTGGTCTTTTGCATACACTTTGGGCAGAGGGTACACGGATTTTGGGAGCAGATTATGGAGGAGTATCCAAGGGAAAGCAAGAACCAGCTCAAGCGAGGGAGAAATTATGGCAGAATCCGTCTTTCCTTAGAAAAAACAAAGGGAAATGATATCCCTAAGGTGGCAAAGAGTATTTCCCACTTCGTTGAACTTCCTTTGCCTTTTGTTTTGTTTTTTTTTTGTCGTCGTCGTCGTCGTGTTGCTCCTTATTTGCCAGGCGGCCCACTGTCCGACTGTCCGACTGTCTGGACTATCTGGCTGGGCTGGCATTTTGTTGGTGTTGCAACCACGTAAATGTCAATTTGCATTTCGTTTGCTGTGCCACCGAAAGCGTCGCGTCGTGAGGCGTTGCATAAACAGCAGCAGCAGCAGCAGCAGAGGCACCGCCACCTCCTGCTATTTTTTGTTTCAATTTGTTACTGATCTGCAAAAATATTTTTATTAACAGACGGAAACAATTAGCGGCGGCGCACTGGCCACCGACACAAACGCAGCGACAGGCGTAACTGTATTTCTGCTTTTTTCCTCCTTGCAACTTGCAACTGCCACTGCGACTGCGTGGCCTTTGCCGCCTGTCCTCAGTTGAGAGTAAAAGAAAAGAAAAGCCTAAATGGGAAATTGAAAACGCGCGCTGCAAACGTTTCAGACACAAAATCGTGATTGCCTTCGTTTTGGCCGCTAGACATTTTTGTTGTTGTTGCTGCTGCAGTTTTGGTTTGCTCTGGAAATGCTCTACATGAGCACCCCACAGGGTGGTGGTGGGTCGCTGTTGATTTCTTATGTAAAACTGCATTCCAGGGAAAGCTGCAAATGTGACAAGGAGACGAAAGAAATTAAGTTTAAGCGAGGAAATGGAAGTTCTCTCTTGGGTTGCGAATAGCAGGGAGAATGCTTCTAAATGGGAAGATATTTCTACTCTAAAGGGTGATTAATTGCTCAAAATGAAAAGGAAAGCCACACACACACACACACACAAACATGACAAACTTCTGCCATAAGCTGGAAAAGCAACAAACAAAAAAGAAAACTCTCTCATCTGCATCTTATTTCGCGGAGTGAAGCACGAAACTCGAGGCCGCCTGTAAATGATAATAAATATGGAAAAGACGTGAAAACGATTGCCGCGATTTTCCCACCAACGCTTTAGATGTGGCTGCCTGGCTGCCTGGCTGTTTGTCTGTCCCTCCTTTGCTTTTGCCTTTTTGGACACCGCCTCCTTCTGGCTGTGGCATCCATCCATCCGTCTTAAGTAGAGTGAAAGTGTTGCGTTTTGGTTTTCAAAAACACAGTCGAACTGAGACTGAGGCTAAGCTTTAGTTTATGTTATTGTTGCTGTTGCTGTTGCTGTTGCTTTTTGGTTGCCCGGCGGACACATATCCTTGTGTTCAATCAAACCCAAAAGCGACGTCAACGCGCAGCGGACTCAGGCACCAGTCTCAGTCTCAGTCTCAGCTCTCTGCGGATTGTGGCCTGGCG